ATGAGGAGAGAGGTGTGGGGAAGGACTGGGCCTGCCTGCAGTTCTAACACTTTGCTCCTTTTGGCTCACGGAGACTGAGAAACTTACACAAGGAACGTGCCTTCTTGCGGGAAGAATGTACATGCTAAAAAGGATGCATGTAAGTGTGTACCCGTCAACTAACAGAAGGCACCCACTGCAAACCTTTCTAAAGCAAAGTCCCCAAGAGGGGTACAGCTGTCAGGGCTCAACTGCATGGTGACAAGCAGCCTACCCCAGAGGTCAAGTCTAGGCTTGGAGGTCACATAGATATAAAGGCTAAGACATGCCTCTTCCATGACTGAGGCCCCTGTGGAAGACACAAACCAGGCTCAGCACCTCCAGAGCCCCCATCTTTGCACCCAGGTTCAAAACAAAGCCCCTCCCATGGGGCGGGAAGGGGTAAAATTAACTCTCAGTCACACCCAGGAGGTAACCAATCACTGACTGACGTGAGGTGGTGGGCATATCCTGCCTGGAGTCCAGACAGCTCCCATCCACAGTCTTTCCCCAGGTGCAGAAAGAAGGATTTCCTTGTCAGAAGGATCCCTGGAATAGAAGGCAGACACCCTTCTCCTGACCACCATCTCACATACTTGTCCCTTTCTGTGGCCCCTTCCATGGGTCTGAAGAGGAAAGACACTCAGAGTCATCCATTTGGGAACCAAAGCCAAGTTGGAAGAGAGGAATGTGCCAAGTACCAATGTTTGTTCAGAGCCCACTGTGTGCACACCTGATGCTGGACACTAAAATAACAAGATAGCAGGGGACACAAGGAAGAATCATGACACAGTCCCTGCCCAGGAGGAGCTGTGTCTCAAAAGATGTGACAAGTAGATCAAGCAGCTAATAGTAAAGAAAAGCAGTGCATGAAAAGTCCTTGACAAGAGATGTCCTTGTGGCCAGAGACTTGGAAGGTCAGGGCTTGATACCACTGAGAGGACATGGGCAAGGAGAAGACTGGAACCCAGAGGGTTGAGAAGCTGGGAAGGAGAAAACTAAGGAGAAGGGGATTATGTGGCTGCTCTGGGAGGGAGAAAAGTTGGGGAAACATAGAGCTGTTTAAATGGGACCTAGGGGGTAGTGGCTCCCTAGGTATTATGCCAAGCTCTCTCCCCAACCGCTCACAAAACCTTTCATAAAACCTACATGACTGGTCATTTTTGTGAAGATGGATTGATGCCAGAGTCAAATCACAGATGGAGGCTGGCTCTGGGGACACAGCTGGGATAGTCCAAGGGGGTTCAAGCACTTCTGGGCTACAGCAGGAAGTAGAGGTTGGCTTTCCAGGAGGAGGGGGACTGGGGGCTTGGTCAGCTGGGAAAGAGGTGCTTTGTTGGGCCTGGAATGATGGTGAGGAGAGATGGGGAAAGGCCCAGAGGGTAGGGGCACTCATTGTAAAAATGTAACCTGATGTGAAACTGTGATAAAACCTCAAGCCCTGGGCAAGTGAAAAAATGTACTGGAGTTGGGAAAAGGAAAGGATAGGATAGAGGTCACTGATTCCAATTTCTCCCAGCCTATGTGTCATAAATGTCACCTGCCTCACAAAAGAGCTGGGTAGATTATTCATCATCTCTCATTGAAGCTGATAAATAGCTCTGACAGGCACCCTGTTGCCAGTCTACCCCTCCGCTAATCTGTCCTCTGCACACAGAGACACTTGCATAAACTTTTAAAAAATCTGGCTCTCATTGCTTCATTCACTCTTATTTAAAGTCCTTCAATGACCGCCCCCCCTCGCCACCCACTAAAGTTAAGTCCAAACTCCCAAGCAAAGCACACAGCACCCAGTAACGAGGCCCTGCCCATCTTTCCAGCCTCATCCACAGTAAATTCCTCCTCACCCCTCATGCCCCATCACACTGAATGACACGCAGTTCCTCCAATGCACCCCACATTTTCATACTCAGGGCCTTTGCACATGCTTTCCCCAGCTCAGTTGCCAACACCCAGGAAGTCTTGCATGATCCCCATCCTTCCTGTCCCTGTCTTCCTGCAGGATCTCATGGCAACACTAGGCTGGCACTTGTCACATTGTATCGTCACCACGATCATCATCTATGTGTCCAACTATAACTACTGGAAGGAAAGGACAGGACAAGTCATACTCTTCTTTGTAGGCCAGCAGCCACCACAGTGTCTGGTTCATCTTTGCATGTAGAAAAGGTTCAATGAATGACTGAGTTCAAAACTCAAAAGGGCCCGCATAGAAAACACCCTCTGGGGAGACTTACAGCTGACACACCCTTCCTTCTCTGGGAACTGCCCCAGCCATTAACTGGACCACAGGTGGACACCCGACCCAAGCAGAGTCAAAAAGAGTCCCTCTCAGGAAAGTAGAAACGACCACAAGAGAAGCAAGTTTGTTTCTGGAACATAACGTGGACTCTTTGGAATTGTGGGGCATGCATAGCCTACCATTTAAAGTGCAGAGCGGAGAAAATCATTCCTTGAAAAAAGAAAAGGCATGGTGACATGCGTCTGTAGTTCCAGCTACTTGGAAGGCAGGGGTAGAAGGATCGCCTAAGCCCAACAGGGTGAGGAGGCTGCGGTGGCCGTGACCATGCCACTGCACTCCAACCTAGGTGACAATGTGAGACTTCAACTCAAAAAAGAAAGAAAGAAAGAAAGACAAAAAAGCAAAGAAAGTGGCCATAGAGAGGATTTCAGATGTCTTCTAGGTCTTAGTTTCATCCTCTCCTGAGACTATGATGGATTCCTGCCCTAGATTCTGTGAGATATCCTGGTTGACTAGTAGCCTGTGCCCTGCTTTGTGTTTGAATTTTTCCTGAGGTTTCTTTTTTTAAAAAAAGGAGGGGCTGGATTGCCTGAGCCCACGGGTTCGAGACCCACCTGGGCAGCGAGACCTCATCTCTACAATAAATCAAAAAACCAGCTGGGCATGGTAGCGCATGCCTGTAATTCCGGCTACTTGGAAGGCTGAGGCGGAAGGATCGCCGGAGCCCAGCAGGTCAAGGCTGCAGTGGCCGGCAGTGGCCACTGCACTCCAGTCTGGGCGACAGAGTGAGACTCCAACTCAAAAAAAAAAAAAGGAGGGGGGTGTTTAGATTCCTTTTTTTTTTTTTCTTTTTTTCTTTTTTGAGCCTGAAGTTTCACCCAGTCGCTCAGGCTGGAGTGCAATGGCACAATCACGGCTCACCGCAGCCTAGACCTCCTAGGCTCAGGCAATCCTTCCACTTCAACCTCCCAATTAGCTAGGACTACGGGCATGCACCACCATACCTGGCAAATTTTTGATTATTTGCAGTGACGAGGTCTCACTATGTTGCCTAGGCTGGTCTTGAACTCCTGGGCTCAAGCAAGCCTCCTGCCTCAGCCTCCCAGAGTACTGAGATTATAAGCGTGAGCCACTGCACTTGGCCAAGTATCATGGGTTTTCTGTCCCATACACAGTTCTAACCACACAGGCCAAGCTTTGCCTTCAGCAGGATGCCTGGGGTTTCTTCTCTTTAAAAAAACTTTTATTTGGGTACATAAAGCACACCCAGGCATAGATTAGACTAAATTGCACATACACATGCAAAACCAGCTACATAATTTGCAGGATCCAGTGCAAATTAAAATGTGAGATTCTTTGTTCAAAAAGCAAGAAAGAATTATCATAAAAGGCACTAAAATATAAAGCAAGCATTTTCCTTTCTTCTGCAGTCTCTCCTTTGACCTTTCATGGTGTTAATGTACTATGTAGTATCTTCCCGAGTAAAGAAAAATATAAATTATTAGCATGAATTTTACCATTCATTTTTCTATTGTGCGATGCCCATATGTAGAATTGCTGATATTACACAATCTGTTTCTTGGCTCCTTCCAGAGGTATCTCAAGCTGACCGGAAGAGATGAGCCCAAGTGTCCCCAGGCTTTCTAACTGTCCCAGGTAGCACTCCACCAAGGCACGGAGATTCCTTGCAGGCCAAGTGCAGACACTCATAAACCCCTGAGGGTCCTGCCCTGAGATGTAGGCCCAGCATGTTGGACAGCTGCAGGGTTTCCCCCTCCCACCAGCTGCCAGACCTATGCACTGTGTGTGGGCTAGGATCAGGGAAGGTGAGCCAGGTATCTCCCCTTCCAGTGACCTGGCTGCCCACAGCAGACAAGTGACTCCCAGCATCTTTAAACCTCTACCCTGGGGTGTGCCCAGGATCTGGTGGACGAGAGACTCAGCCTCCCTGAATTGTTTACTGAATGTGTCATGGAGCTGCCAGTCTGGGGCAGGGATGGCCACCATCATGCCTGACTCCGACCTTCCCTGCATGCACACCAAACCCTCTCCGGGGCTAGAGGGCATCAGTGCTCACTGGATGAGGTAGGGGAAGCTTGGGCCTCAGGGAATCAGGGGCCTGGGAAGTAGGTGCCCACGTATCCACTCATCCCAGGAAGGTAGATAGGCTTCGGGAGTCTGTACCATGTGCGAGCCAACGCTCCAGATCCCTGGCCTATGCTCCAATGTCCCACTGGATTTCATTTACAAAACACATATCCAAAGATGAAATTAGGAATGTCAGGGCAATGGCCACAGAGCATTAAACCCCAAGCGCGGGGCCCTTCTGAGCATGGAGCCCTGTGCAACTGTGCTTGTCATATGCCTATGAGGTTGGTCCCATACACATGAGGAAGATCTCTAGACCTCATTAGATAACTAAGTGCAGGTACTGAAGCTGAAACAAAAAAAGGAACACACACTTCACATGCATATTAAACTTAGAACCCCCAGATCTACAGGCCAAGAACACCATTCATATCTCACCCGAGGCCAAGCTTAAGCATCGACATCTTCATCCCAGCCTGCAAATGGTATGTGTAGAAAAACTGGATTTGATTTCTGAGCATTAATTTGGGCTTTATTCTAAAGTTAACACTTTATAATATGTTTAGCTATTCCAAGGGTGTTTCATGAAAAAGGAACAATATCAGAGCATCAAAGAGAAGGAAACATTACTGGTTTCCTTTGCCCAAATAACTTAAGACATTTATGGCTTAGCAGTTCAACCCAAGCTTCACTTCTGAGGCTTATATAAAAAACTTTCTGTTGGCATTAGCTCCAAACAAGGCCATTCGTATTTCTGGCATCTTCTGCTGGGCCGCAAGATACAATTGACTTTCCATGGTGTTGAAAACCTTAATTCTCTGATCGCCACTGTAGACCTCCACACCGCCAAGTGCATCCACAGGCAGATGTGCCTCTTGATCAATCTGAACCTCCACATGTTTTTGGGAAGCCACCATGTATTGGGGGATGGCCTTTTGCACGGCAACCTCAACCAGGGAGAGGTCCTGTGGCCTGCAGCGCACAATCACCACCGGCTCCAGCAGACGGAGCAGAGCCTGGAGCACTAGTTTGTCAAGCAGCCCCTGGTAGATTTCTGGGTCCTCCATAATCTTGTGGAGTCTCAGCTTTATATCACTGAGCAATTCTGAGATGAGGTCATCTTGGGCTCTCAGGACTTTTAGCCTTGCCTGATTCCTCATGGTGGACATCTGGATTCTCTTCTGCTGCTCTATCTGCTTCTCCTTCTTCTCATAATATTCCAAAATCTTCAGTCGTTGGGTTTGCACCAGGCGTCCCTTCTCGATGTTAAACTCCTCCTCAGCCTTGGCATCTATCTCCTCCGCTTTTTCATTGGCTTCCTGCTCAATGAAAGCCATCATGTGCTTAATCTGTTTCTGTATATCAATATCACTCAGGGCCATGGGTGCTCTTAGAAAGGGAGGAAAGAAGACAGCGAGTAGATTATTTGACTCCTTTGATTTAGGGGAGTTTCGGGAGTGTCTCTGCAGTTCCACTTCCTCAGCTGTGGCAGCACAAGAGAAGGAAAGAGAAAGTCAAAACCTAAAGAGGACTATAGAGACCACTTATACAGCCCTCATTTCACAGATGAGGAAACTGAGGTCAAGAGAGGGAAATCATTCTGTTCAATGTCATACTCTAGAAGAACGGAGGCTTGAACCTGAACCTTTGGGGTTCCATCCCTGCTACACCCACTGTCTTTTTGTCATCAAATAATATTGATGCAGTTAGGGTGGGCCTAGTCCAGAAACTCTCTAACCTGGGATGCTTAAGACTCAGCAAGTAACAGAATGAAAATACGATGATTATTTCCAACAGAATGGAAATATTCCAACAGAATGGAGATGGTGGTAATTAACTAATCATATTCCACATAAAGACATAAATGGAAAGTGTATCCACATTTTAGGGGAGAGGAGAGCTGGAGAGAGTCATAAGAAACTCATGATTAGACAGGATTCAATCCAAAGGCTGCTTGGAGGCAGAAGGGTTTCATAAGACTTCAAATGATACGAAGAAATACAGTACTACTAGACAGATAATGGTACCTTGGAGAGAGCTAGAAGGTAGGAGGGGTTAAAGGTCATCATTTTACTAAAAATGGTTTCAAACCTGGATGCATATCTGAATCACCTGGGGGCCTTTTAAGACATGCAACTTTCCAGGTTCCACCCCACACCCACTGAATCAAAATTGCTGCCAGTAGGGTCTGAGAATAAATATATTCTTTCTTTTTTTAAACTAGGAAAGGTAGATTTATTAAAGTGAATATAGATTGTGAAGGGCACAGTGGGCAGGAAAACAGTGAGAGTGTCTGCTGTTTGCTGCAGAATAAATATCTTTAAAAGATCCCCTAAAAGGTTCAACAAGCTCAGGAAAATCATGTGTGAACACAATAAGAATATCAACATAGAAATAAAAAAGAACAAAGCAGAAATTTTGGAGCTAAGGAATACAATAACCAAACTGAAAAAAATCACTAGAGTATTTCAACAGCAGAAGAAAGAATCAGTGAACTTGAAGATAAGGACATTTGAAATTATCTAGTCAAAGGAGCCAGAGTAAAAAAAGAATAAAAAGAGAAAAGAAAACTTAAAGGACTTATGAGACGCCATCAAGTGGAGTAGCATATTCATTATAGGAGTCTCAAAAGGAGAACATTGAGAGAAAAAGACAGAAAACTTTTTAAAGAATAGCTGAAAATTTCCCAAATCTGGGGAAGAAGATGGATATCCATATTCAAGAAGTCTAACGAACTCCAACTAAGATAAATCCAAAGAAGTCCACATCAAGATTCATTATAATCAAATTATCAAAAGTCAAAAACAAAGAGAATTTTGAAAGCAGCAAAAGAAAACAGTTTTGTTACATATAAGGGAGCTGCTGTAAGACTACTAGTGGATTTCTCAGTAATACCTTGCAATCCATGAAGGAGTGGGATGATATAGTCCAAGGGTTGAAAGAAAAAACTGCTAACCAAGAGTATTATGTTTGGAAAAACTGTCCTTCAAAAATCAAAGAAAAATAAAGACTTTCCTAGATAAACAAAAGCTGAGGAAGTTCATCACTACTAAACCTGCCTTACAAGAAAAGCTAAAGGGAATCCTTCAACTTGAAAAAAAAAAAAAGGGCACTATACAGCAACATGAAACCATACGGAAGCATAAAGCTCACTGGTAAGGTAAATATATGGGCACATACAGAATACTGTAATACTGTAATGGTGACATGTAAATCACATTTAATTCTGATATAGAAGTTAAAAGACAAAAGAGCAAAAAGTAATTATAACTATAAAAATATAAAAAGATGCAATTTTTGACAATATGGGAGGGTAAAATTTTTTGCATGTGATTGAAAGGTGGCCATACTTATATCTGACAAAATAGACTGTAAATCAAGAATTGTCACGAGACAAAGACGTTATATAATGATAAAAGGGTCAATTCACATGGAAGATAGAACAATTGTAAATATTTAAGTAGCCAACATCAGAGCACTCAGATATATGAAGGAAACATTGACAGTACTGAAGGAAGAAATAGACAGCAACAAAACAATAGAAATAAGCCAGTCGCAGAAGGATAGATACTAAAATAGATACCAGCTAAAAATAGATTGTTATAATTATGTTTTATATAATCCCATGGTTATCACAAAGATACCTATTAGAAGTTCCACAAAAGAAAATAAGAAAGAAATTGAAGCATGTTGCTAGGAAAAGAAAGAAAGAAAGGAGGGAGGGAGAGAAGGAGAGAGAGAGGGAGGGAGAGAAGCACAAAGGATTCGATCCAGGAAGGTCCTTAACAGATATGTGTGTGGACCAGACCACAAGAGAGGAAAAGAGGCACAAAAAGCTATGAGACAGAAAATAGTTAACAATGGCAGCAATCAGTCCTTCTCTATAATTTTTACTTTAAAAGTAAATGGAATCAGCACTTTGGGAGGTCAAGGTGAGGGGGTTGCCTGAGTCCATGGGTTCAAGATTGGCCTGGGCAACTTGGCGAGACAAGCCTGGGTAACTTGGTGAGACCTCATCTCTACAATAAATCAAAAAACTAACCAGGCATGGTAGCGCGTGCCTGTAATTCTGGCTACTAGGAAGGCTGAGGTGGAAGGATCGCCTGAGCCCAGCAGGTCGACGCTGGGGTGGCCATGAGCATGCCACTGTACTCCAGCCTGGGCGATGGAGTGAGACTCCAACTTAAAAAAAAAAAAGTAAATGGATTAAATGCTCCAATCAATCAAAAGACATAGGGTGACTGAATGAATAAAAATAGCAAGATCTCCCTATATGCTGTTTACAAGAGACTCACTTTAAGGTTAAGGACATACATGGGCTGAAAATAACGGGATGGAAAAAGATATTCCAGGCAAATAGTAACCAAGGAAGGGTGGCCACACTTATATCTGACAAAATAGACTGTAAATCAAGAATTGTCACAAGAGACAAAGATGTTATATAATGATAAAAGGGTCAATTTACATGGAAGATAGAACAATTGTAAATATTTAAGTAGCCAACATCAGAGCACTCAGATATATGAAGGAAACATTGACAGAACTGAAGGAAGAAATAGCAACAAAATAGAAGGAGATTATCCTGAGCGAAATAAGCCAGTCGCAGAAGGATAGATATTGCATGGTTCCACTTATATGAAGTATCTAAAGTAGTCAAACTCTATAAGCAAAAAAAAAAAATAGATGACAATTGCCAGGGACTAGGAGAAGTGGAAAATGGGGGCCTCTGCTCAACAGGTACCAAGTTTTAGTCATACAAGATGGAAAAAAATCTAGTGATTTATCATTTACCACCAAGTGTATACAGTTAACAATACAGTACTGTACACTGAAACATTTGTCAAGAGGGTAGATTTGATGTTACATGTTTTTTTGCCACCAAGAAAAAAAAAAAAGAATATCATCCCAGAACGATGTATCCTGCACCAAGGCTGGTGGAAAAACAACCCAGTGTTTGTGACAAAGACCAAGCCCTTGGGTTCAACATTACAAACTGGCATTGGAAATTTAAAAGAAAATTAATTGGCCCATCCTCTCCCCATTATTTTAGAATGTAGTTTTTAAAAAGCGTCATTTTTGTAAAGTGTAGAAAGCATTCCCTGTTCCTAGATAAGTTGATGTGACGGTTTCAAAAAAAGACTCTCTGGGTAACCCTGAAGATCACCAGCTTTGGAAGCTACAGTCAATGAAAGCAAAGAGAATGTGAGATCCAGGAAGCCCCAGGTTATGTGTGTAGAGAAAAAAACACACCAGATGAACACTTACTCGTCCCCTGCCAGTAAGTGAGAGTCTGCAGGCAGAATGTGGAACTTGGAACGCACACTGGAACCTGGCACTGTCACTTCCTTCTATGTACAGACGACCCTCACAGTCTGACCAGGCAGCTTGAATACAAAGAGCCAGGTTGTCACTAGGGAAGGCTGGCCAAATCTGCCAAGAGGAGGCCTAGAGGTATTTCCTTGGCACCCAGGCCACAGCTGGGGTTATCCTGGCACACTCAGAATCTCAGCAAAGTTGGCTCATGGTGGGCTTCAGCTCTGGGGTGGGCTCGCCTTAACAGATACATGTGTGGACCAGGAAGCCAGTTTGTTAATTTACTAACAAAAATACAGCTGTCATGTTGGCAAATCATGGCCTTCTTTCCCTGTATGTGAGTTGCCCGTGAAGACAAATCCGAAGGCTGTTCAATAAAAAACCAGCACAAGCAAAATGTACCAGATGGTCTTTAAAAGAGCCACACCTGCCCCAGGGGCTGCTGTGCTCTGGCCTAAGAGGGACGACATCGTCTCCACTCCCAACAGGGCTTAAGTGGGCATCACCAGTTTCCATGGCACGAGCTCAGCAGTCAGACTGCTGGAATTCAGATTCTAGTTCTGCACTTACCATTTGTATAACGTTGGCAAAGCAGCTTACCCTCGAAGCCTCATTTCCTCATCTGCATAATAGAAATAACGATAGCATCCACATCATAGGATTATCATGAGGAGTCAATGAAATAAGTGAATGTTTAGTGCCATGCCAGGCACACAGTTAATGTTCACGCTTGGTAGTTAGTGTTTGTATCATCATCACTACCACTACTACTTTTATTATTATTGTTATTATTATTATTTTTTTTGAGTCAGAGTATCACTCTGTCGCTCAGGCTGGAGTGCAGTGGCACATTCACAGCCACCCCAGCATCGACCTGCTGGTCTCAGGAGATCCTTCTGTCTCAGCCTTCCAAGTAGACAACAGGCACGCGCTATCACGCCTGGCTAATTTTTTATTTATTGTAGAGACAGGTCTTGCCAAGTTGCCTGGGATGGTCTCAAACCCGCAGGCTCAGGCAATCCATTCGCATTGGCATCCCAAAGTGCCAGGATTACAGGTTGAACCACCAAGCCTGGCCTATTTTTATTACTATTGTTATCTCTTCTCCTCTGATTTAGGCCTGGTTCCTATCACAGTCAGTCTGTGTGTGTACCGATGAATGATTCCA